TTTATAAGAGAAATTAAGTAACCCTAATTGCCTTATAACAATTTTACTATTGCAATAATTTAAGCATCTATATGTTTGTCATGTTTTTTCTAAGAGAGACATCCAAGTTTTAAAAGCTATACTGAAATTCTATCATCAAAAGGTGTGACTAATTCTGCCTTAAAACTCTTCCATCAGAAAGTAATGGTCAATTTATTATTAAGCATAAGTAAATGTTCATGGAATAAATGAAAGCATATCTCCATGAACATTAATGCATCTGAAACTTGAAATTCTACAAAATGGTTGGTTTCTTTCAAACTTTTAGTTTTTGTGATATTTTAATTCAGAAATTGAGCTCTGGACTGAAGCTCACCTTTCCTTACTTGAAATTTGTTTTAAAATTTGGAGGGGGAAAAGAAACTATTAGTAAAATTTCCAGCATTTCTAGGTCCAGAACTTCCCCAAACTGCTTCTACTTCAATCCATCTGGAGAATTTGGGAAGTATTTGTCACTTATATAAGAAAGTTAGTGATCAAATCCTCAGCAGCTAAATACTACATATAATTTATTTTCAAAGGCAGTAACATATCACTTAACTTTAATGATATTATTCTCAGAATCAATTATGAAATTCAGAATATAATCATACAACAGAATTATGCAGTCATTTAACAAAACAGTCAAAATATACTTTTTTATGTGAGAAATACAATTATTTAGTTTAAAAAGTCTATAAACAGATGGCATTTTTGTTTAAACATATATGCATAGAAAAGTATATAAAAATATTTATAGAAGTTATTTTTCATGAGTAGTAAGAAATCGCTTTTGCTCTTTGTATTTGTGTTTTCTCAGCATTCTGCATTGAGCATATAAAATTATAACATATATAATTATTTAAAAAGTAAACATCATTAAAAAATATTACTTTCTCCAAGCATTCAGAAGACTTTTTTCTAAATAACCCCATTGGTGTGACTGATGGCAGAGGTGCCAAATGACAATGCTATATCACTAAATTGATGTTTGTGAAATTCTTGGTAGTAGTTCTCCCAAAAAGTCTTATTTTTTTTTAACCAGGTATCTGAAACTACATCAGATAATTTTTGGTATTATTTTAACTAGCATGTTAAGGACAATTTTAAGAAAAAAAACTTATTACCTGAGAAGTCCTTAATAAAATTTCTTTTAAAAAATGTTTTTAAAATCCGAGCATTTTTTAAATATTCATAAGTTAACTGGCATAATGAAATGCTGAGCTGATAACCCTTTGCATGAAATCAACCTCAGAAAATTAAGTGTTCTTCATATTTAGAAATGATTTTTCATGACTTTCAATTCTGTTCTGCTTTATACTTTTAGCTTATTCTGAATATTTTGCAAAAGCCTTATTAGAGGGCAGGGAGGGAAGAGATTTTTAAAAGTTAGCTAGAATGAGATAAAGTTAGTTCAGTTTATAAAACTGTTACTCATGCTATAAATATTGGCATGGACACCTGAGCCAATAAAACTTAATGAACATATACAACCACCATACTAACTTTTCTTATTAATTCCCAGGTAATTCCAAATTCATGAATACACAATGGTTGACCAGCGATCTCCAACCTTTCTGGCACCAGGGACCAGTGCTCCTATGAGAATCTAATGCCTGATGATCTGAGGTAGAGCTGAAGCAGTGATGCTAGCGCTGGGGAGCGGCTGCAAATACAGATGAAGCTTCGCTAGCTCGCCTGCCACTCACCTCCTGCTGTGTGGCCTAGTTCCTAACAGGCCACAGACCGGTACCCATCTGTGGCCCGGGAGTTAGGGACCCCTGTCTAGCGGCTTAATTCAAGTTTTTATGGAAAACTATTTTGGTGCCCTTGGATATTAAATCATAATAATAAAACAAAGTCCCTGCTCAGAAAGTTTATAAAATAATGAGGCAAGTCTACCGCACATAAAATTCATTAAGTTTGCTATAAGATTGCTTAATTTTTTTGCATAAACTCAATTCAGAGAGAAGAATATCTATTTTACAGGGGCGTGTTAGCTACCCAGATACTCCAGAGGAATCCCCATGAGATTTTCAAAAGAAAAATGGAAAAAGAGCAGAAAAGAACAGATTAACATGGATTCCCTAGTTATCACAAAGACTAACAGCTCATGACTATTATCTCAAAAAAATCAAAAACTGAATTGGGAACCTGAGACCACTTTCATGGAAAATTCAAATCAATTCTTGAAGCCCTGATTAGTAGCAGGAACAGAATCTGTTTAAAAAATAAAATGTCTTAATAACATTTAACTTCGAAAGCTAACCTATACAACTTCTCTTTTCTGATTTACAACTTAAATCACGAAAACTGGAACAGTTAAATCAGAATTAGCTATGAATTTTATTTCAACAAAACATCACAGATTTTCAATATTTAAGGAACAGATGTACAGAATGAACAAGATTTAGATCTAGATTAAACACACACATAATCCCTACAATGTTTACTAACCTCCATTCATTAAGATTTAGAGCTATATCACACACACACACACACACCCGTCACAACAAAATGTCTATTAACCTCAATGTAATGTACAACATCAGTTCACCAAATGGATGGGAAACAAGTACTGATATTTCATCTACTCTGAGCAGTCACACTTAGGAATGTAAAAGGGACCAAGAAGCTGGATATTCCAAAGTGCCCTGGGGTGCTAATTCCATTATCTCATATCGCTTTCAAAACATCGATAGATGGTGACTTGGAACTATAGTAGGGTGATGACTCTGTTCCTTACAGATAAATGCAAGATGACAAGAAAACACATAAATAGAGTGTTTTAGAGTTGGCCTACTGCTACAAATTGATCACAAACCAATTTGCGAAAAGTTAAGCCCTGAATGAAAATAAAGTCTTAAACCATCAATCACAAACTGACAGTTTCTACTAAAATCTATTAAATAAGCACAAATCAATACTGGCAAAAAAAAAAAAAAAAAAAAAAACGAATTACAAGGACTGAACAAAAAGGGGAAACAAAAACTCAACATAAAGTTTTATAAGATCGAGTGAATGGCCAGTATAAGATATGGACTTATCACAGATGTGCACTTGGCAATTTCATTTGTATCATAGATGAATTGATTAAAATTAACAATGCTAAACTATATTTAGTTGAGAAATGACACAATTCTAATAAGCTAAACATATATGACGAATAGAATGGCAATATACCCAGAGAATTGTATGGTGAGCTTAAGTTCATCAAGTGAAAGCGTGGGGATAGAAGACATGCTCAATGGTTGCACGAGAGCAGGGGTCAGCAAACTATGGCCCAATCTGTTTTTGTAGGGCCCGTGAACTAAGAATTGACTTTACAGATAATCATTTGCAATCCGTGTGATGATAGGGAACACGAACTTTGAACTCCAATTAAGAGAAATGTGAGAGCTCCCCCAAAAGAACTCCATTCTCCTAATTATTAGACTGTATTACCAAAAACAAAGTGTCCAGTTATTATGTTTTGAATTTCATCCATGAACAATCTATGGAAATTTGTTTTCTCTTTTGTTAATACATATCTCGATGATAGCCTTGATTTGCATTTTAGCCGACAAAGCCCCAAATATTTTATCTAGCCCTTTACAGAAAAAGTTTGCCAACCCCTATATCAGAGCATTAATTTGAATAATGGGGAATACGTAGGCTTTTGGGAAACAAAAATTCAAAATATTTGAATTTAGATCTGAGATCTGAGAGTAGTGTGGGAATCAGGAAGGAAGTAGATCTGCTTAACAAAGGTTAAATGTTCAATTTGAAACTAAAAGATGGTTACCAAAAAGGAAAAAAAAAAAAAGACTGCAAATATACAGTTGTCTCAGGTGCAAACCATAAGAAATTATATGGATAATAAGGAAAATTCTTGATCACACACTGATCTTCTCAATCACACTTGCACATATTGATATTTAGCAAAATCACTTTATCAAAAGCAATATATTTTTTATAGAATTAAGTACAAAGCTTTTAAAATAACTTAATCACAGTCCTGTGTACAACTGGTAAAGGCTACCAAAAGTTATGGCTCAGTACAATCAAAACTAAATTCAAGCTGTCCAGATACAGAACAGGCTACATCCCTAATTAGTGATCTGATGGCTGGAACTATTAAAGAAAATACTAGAAAACCCTGTCAGGAATATAAATTAAAAAGTTTTGCCTTGCATGGAGAATTGGACTACATGGCCTCTATAGATATTTTCAATTTTATACTTCTATTAAATATTTGGAAAATCAAGAATAACACCCAAAAGACAGTAGTAGGTATTGTTGCTTTGGCCAAACTATAACCTTAGAACGAACCAATCTAGTGGCCTAAATATAAAGACGTTAGATTTTTTTAAAAAGGGGGGGATAAGATCTCAAATATTAAAAACTTTAAAAAATTACATTTAAAAACTCAATTAAAATCCCATCCCTACTGTTCTTAAGAACAATACTAATTCTAAGATAATATTTTGAATCTGGTGTTGTTAATGAAAGTGTTGACAGACCCGATACATAAAGTTATATTAAATCTATGAGTCAAAATTCTACTTCTCTCAGTGGTCTACTCATACATGTAGATATTCATGCTTCCATTTTGTATTTATATACTGAATAAATACAAGCATCTCTTATGTGCTCAATAAAGTATTAGGAGCAGAGAATACAAGTGAGCAAAAACAGACATAGCTTGTGCTCTTATTCAGTTTATATACATTTTAGTAATCTTGCAGCTTTTAAGCAATTTAATTTTTTTTTTTTTTTTTGCATCGGATATCCAAAATGGCTTTTCCAGGATCATACAACAGTAGAATGACTCAATTAGAAACTGAAAGGCTGTGTTCTTACACTTCTTCTATAGCTGAATTTGCTATGTGATCTTGGATCAGTTTCTCCACTTAAGTTTTTCATGGATGTGTACATGTATGCACTCTTAGAATAACAACAAAATTACTTCCAGTTCAAAAATTCCAATTCAACCTCCTTACCTTGATTATTTCCACCAACTGATCCACACCACTGTCCCCTGGAAATATTGGTTGTCCTAATAACAGCTCAGCCAGCACACAGCCCGCAGACCATACATCTGAAGAGAAAACAAAGCTTACTAATACTGTTTAGCTTAAGTTAAGTTGAAAAATATTTGTATATATTTTCTAATTTTACTTTGATCAGAGAATAAACATCACAATCAAAAGAATGCCCAATCCAGAACAGAAGAAAAAGTCATCAAACCATTCTTAATCCATTTTAAAATTAAGTGTTAAATTTACTAAAAATGAAACAAGGCCAATAATAATAATCCAATAAGAGGTAAAATCCATTTAATTATCAAATATCAGGTGTTCAAGTCTTCAACAACCAAGACAGGGGAATTCTAGTACCAAAACATAGGGCATGATTATATACTTGTCACACTTAAAAATAAGTCAAAGTGACACAATTTCTGTAATTAGCAGGTGCTTACAGAGTAGCAACAACCAAGGGTTTAATCTCCTGTACAGAGAATTGTAAGCCAATGCAAATTCTGTGAAACAATTTTAGAACTTTAAATGGTTTGACTTTTATGTTGTAATATTGACAGAAAAATGTGCTTAAATATATTACATATCATTTTTAAATGATGCAAAGATAGAATATACTTAATTTTGCAAATTGAAAAATAATTCACTTTTAAGTCAAAGTGGAAACCTCAATCCCTGAGGGGAAAAAAAACTTTAAAAATATTTAATTAATAAATTTTAATAATGTATAAATTTAATAAATTTAAAAATAATTTTAAAGTGCACATCATTGCTTACCCATAAATAGTCCTCATTTAGAACTACTGTCCTGGGATAATTACTAATTACTTTCTCTTGTAAAAGTATTACCAAAGGGAAGATAAATGATATGGTCACTCATTTATAGCCCATCAGTAAGACTTTCTGTAAGGAAAAGCTAACTTTCAGTTTCTAGATGCCCAAGATTGCTGGGTTGTTTTTTTTTTTTTATGAACAATCAAGTGCTTTAGGGAGATGAACATAAATCACTTCTGGCCTTTCTCATCTACCGGTAGGGAAGGAGAATAGTGGAATGGCAAGAAGACAACAAATAATTTAAGTGGTCTCATGTGGTAAGATGTGCTATCAAGAGGGACTGGAAATCCCTGCTCCAGTGACTACTTTTTCCCAACCTAGAAAAATAATGACATAAGATTCATTTAAGAAATTCAAGCTGAATTTGTCTAGTTCCAAATAATAACAAAGACACTTATTTTACAAACATAGATTGAAAAAGCCTTCCTAGACATATTAGGAAATTGTTAAATGAAGCAAATATGAAAACTTGCTAGGAAATCCTTACTTTACTTAAGGTCAATAGTAATACTAACTCCTAAAATCATGTGGAAAAGATGTATCGCCTTATTAATGCAAACGCTTTATTTTGATCCGTGTTTAAAAACATTCCTTTACCTAGCTAATTAGGTGAAAGGTAATATGCACTCACTTCTTTCCTCTATAAAAGGAAAAATTCATCTCAGAAGACACAGCTGGAAAAATTGCAGGGGAATAATTACAGTTTCATTAAAACACACACATACACACACACACACACACAACAAACAAAAAAACCATGGGAAACACTTTCTTAGGCAGGATTAATGTAAGCTACAAATATGGGAGACAAGGAGTAAAACATTAAGAATGCTGTTGCTTAGTGGTTGTCACGGAAGATTAATGATAAAAAGATTCAGGTGACAACTATACTAGTAGTCTTCAATATATGTTAACTTAGGAAAATTACTAAAACCAAGATATTTATCATTCATTTTTCTGGGAGATACCAAAATATCTTCTATTCTTACTCCACAGAACAAATGGATGATATTCTTCAAACAGAACAAAACAGAAATGAACAGAAGGCATGAAGAAATAAGTGCTCTGGCATACTGAATTTTCTGGTTTTTTGGGGTTTAAGCCAAAACAGTATTCTGTTTCACACTTAACTCTAATTCATGGTAAAAGCAACCTTTCAAGACCATCTAATTTAACATACTTCACAGATAAAAAAAAAATTAAGGCACAATAAAGTTCAATGACTTGTTCAAGGTCAAGCTAGTGAATAGCAGAGGTAGGCCTGGAACCCAATTTCAATTCCCAATCAAGATACCAGTGTCTTGAATAACTGCCTCATTATCACAGAATAACTGTTTCTTCAAGGGTTTGTAAGCTTAATTCCGTATCCTAAAGAAGCTATTTGTTCTCAGTCTACCATTTCTCAGTAAGACAATATAGCAGAGCCATCAGTCTTAGCTCTAGTTATATCTGAATATGATAATAATTTAGTCAGAACCAGCTACTCTTTCACTTTAAACATCATTGTTTAAAATACTTCCAAAATGTACCTGTATTAGTACACTTCTACATACCTTCGTTTTTGTCTGTTTACAAATCTTCCAAAGTTTTAAGAGGCAAGTAATCTAAGTCTAAAAAGGGAGGCCATATTTAGGCTTATTTGGGTTCAGAAGGCCCCAGAGTTAAACAAGTGGCATATAGTGAGTCCTAAGTCTAGAAAATCAGAAGTCAGAATCTTGGCTTTAGCCATGCAAAAGAGGCTACTGGAAAGCAGGGACTCATAACATCCAGAGAATTGGCTCCTAATAGAGAAAACAGACTATGCTGTCTTTCATGAGAAGATTCCAAAAAGCTGCTGGGCACATGGACATTTACAGAAGTAATGTATTCTTAAAAGGGTCAAAAGTTTATATAAACATGCCTTAATGTGTCAGATGATGTGGTAATAACTTTAAAAGAAGTTAACTACATTTACTTAGGCACAACTCATCTTAGTATCTGGTGTGCAGGTGATCAGCAGCATGTAAAATATAAAGCACTTAGAAAACCAAATGACATCTCTAAAGATAACAGGCTAAAATTTGCTTTTGGTAAAATTTGCTTTTGAGTTAAAAATATCACAAAAAGAATACTACCTTACATTTCTATAGTACATTCACTAACATTTTATTTAATCCTCGCAGCCACTCAGAAAGGTAGGCAGAACTGTTAGTAATTTCTGTTTTACAGCTTAGCTAAGTAGTAATAAACCTGGACCTCAAATCCAGTTCTACTCCAATCAATATCCTTTTTTCTATTTCTCGTTTGTCCCTTAACATACATCCTATAATGTAGACACGGTGAAATTTGGAGTATATCTCCCGGCTAACCCCCGTATCTATCTATCTATACCTCCCTCCCTGCTTCCACCCGCCCCGTCCCACACAGAATTATACTTTTTCTCCTCCAGTACAGCAGGTCTCAAGTATGGTCTACAGAGACCTGGGCCTCCAGGACCTTTTCAGAGTTCTGAAGGGCAAAGCTATTTTCATAAAAATACTAAGATGTTATCTGCCTTTTTCACTATATTCACATTTGCCACTGGTGATACAAAAGAAATGCTGGGCAAAACTGCTGTCCCCTTAGCATTTTGTCCTTTGACAAAATAACAACGGTAATGTATTTCTGTTTAGTGGTGTTTGTTCATATTAGAGAATTTCTACTTGTATCAAAAGACACAAATTGTCCAAGTTCTGGTTTTTCTTAGTTTTCTATTACTGGGGACTTTTGTTTGTTTGTTTGGTATTTGTATGCTTTTGTTTCTGTTTTTGGACTAAGGAATTCTCTTCGGAAACGATATATAACAATAAAATAATTTTGATCTCCATTCTCACCTAGCCTAAGGCTGTACCTCCTTTCTTAGCTTCCTATTCATATCCAGCTGATCATACTCTCCATGTTCACTCCTACTTGTGGACAAAAATGGGGTAGAAGAGACGGTCAATGAAGACTGAGTAAATTATCTCCATTCAATTCCTTTTATCACTGATTTTTGTGAATACTTCTACAAAATCACTGGAGTTAGCCAAAATACTAATGAAAAAGTCAGAATTATTTTTTGACCTGAATTAAAATTAAATAACCAATTGAGATGACATAATAGGAATGTCAACAATATGGACATATTTCATTACTTTCATCATAAACTTAAAGGATGCAAATTCTCCAACTGGTGATCATGCTCAGAAGTGAGTATTTCAGGGAAATTAAAAAAAAATAATAATAAGGAAAGAAAAGGTATACTTAGGATTTATTTGAAAGTTAAAAACAAATGTCATCATAAAGAAAGCACGCAGTCACAAAGGATTAGCTTTATTATTCTAGTAATCCAAGAAATCTCAAAATAGGATAGTAAATACATTTTAAATTCTAAACGGCAATTTTTTTTACATTCTACACATTTTTGCATATTGATCGTCAAAAAGAAACGTATTTCACGGCATACCTATCTTTATATTTAAGTGAAAGTATAGATTAGTAGTAGTAAATTACTAAAAATAAGACAATTAATAACTGCAAGCCATTATATTCAGATAGTACTTACCTATACTAGAGGTATAATCAGTGGCTCCAAAGATCAACTCTGGTGCCCTATAGTACCGAGAACAGATATACGAAACATTGGGTTCTCCTCGGACCAGCTGCTTTGCACTAATAAAAAATAAATAAATAAAAAGCAGAGATTCTTTAAACTAAATTTAAATCTTAAAAGAACCTAAACTGCTATTATTCACAACACTGAATGTTTATCTAAGATGCATATAATTCCAATCATAAAACATATGAAAAAGAAAATATGAACTATATCTCTGACAAAAGAAACTTAAAATTTTAACACAACATTAATTTAAAAAAATAACAGCAACTTTTAAAGACTGCATTTGTCAACTGTCACCCTAAGGAAAAAAGAGCTAAAAAGTCACAAGAGGATAAATGCTGAATTCCTTCTGACCCTCTGTGTTCCCTAAATTCCACCTTAAAATACAAAGAAGAAAGGGTAGAAAAATGATACCTCTCCCCACCAAAAAGCATAGTAATAGATTATAAGAATGAATACTTTTCACTCATTTTTTTTTTAAGGGTAAGAAATTGAGCCACTTTTTCATAATCTGACTTCTGACTCAGAGTGACTATCCCAAGGCTTATAGACCCAATCTACTTTATTTTTTCCCCCATCTTTATCAATTTGTTAACTGTCAAAACATCTATTACCCAATTAAAACAAGACATGCTCACTCTTTTAGGGCAGAGATGATTCATAGCTTATGAATTCTTAACTCTGCTGTCCTAAAATTAATTACATGTTCTCTTAATTCCACTTTCCTTACAAAACTTTGTGGCATATATTTTAAACATTAATGTAAATTATCTTTTGAGATATCTCTCAAGATAACTTGAAGACACATTATCAAAATAAATAAACTGCTGTAGAAGCTAACTATTTTGACATACAACAGAGAAAAATACAAGAAATGAATATGAACAACAAATCAAAATAATAAAAAAGTAAGTAACAAGAGAAGGTTAAGAAAATTTTGAGGTAAAGGTATGGGAAAATCAGAGATAGATGAAAGTGGTCACAAGAGTTTCAAAGTCTGGACTTTCTTTTCTTCTATTTATTTCTGGTCCATGAACGCTTTTGACCTTAATCTATTTTTCCTTCATTACAAGTTTTGAAGGTGAGAGGCAGTTTACTTTTTAGCATTCTCCACAAGTAATGACACACACCAACCATTTTATAAATTAATAAATATCAATCCCTATTTTTAGGCTGCATGAAAATTAAGATACTTTTTCAGCATAACTGATAAAACCTTTCTACTTTATGAAAGATTTTATTAATAAGACACATTCCAATTATGTACTCAGAAATTCAGTATAAGATAAAGAAGGTAATATTGGAAACTTCACAGCCTGATGATTTCTTCACTACTGTTACCTCTTCAGGTGAGGCTGGCTATAACTTATTGCCCTTTGAGGGTTGAGAGCATCCAATATGGTAGTCACATATAGTCCTAAAGCCCAACCAGCCCTTCACCTATTTCCAGGTTCCACTTCATCCAGTAAAAAAATTACTAACAAGGGAATAATATTGTTTTCTTCAAATCATCACCAACCTGGCACTAAGTATCTAAAGTATATCTCAAACTCTACTTGCTAAAACCAACTGTTAAAAACCAAAAGGGCAACTTTGTTATCAGAGCTATTATTAAAAATGAGCTATTATCAAACTAGTGAAGTCCCTGTTTGAAATATATAAGAACAAAGTGATTTTTACGTCCCAATAAAATGAACCATAGCAATAGTGTTGACATTACAGTAAAAGTGGAAACTATTAAACTTGATGTCTCAGAGTCTTTTTACAGTCGATACCGATCGGTCACTCTCAGTGGGGAATACACCCCATAAAAATAAAACTCACCTAATTTGGACAATTTGTCCTATATATAATAATAGTAGCACTTTGTTTCAAGCATCAAATAAGAGTTTTGATGTAATATCTTTCACCCCTTCCTATAGTTGAAGGGACAGAGTTATAGCCTGCAAAATGAGTTGGATCCTGTAATAGGTGTCTGAAATTAGGAAACTGTAAAAAAGGGAATGGTCTGAAAGAAGACACCCTTGTGAGACTAAGAATAGTTAACTCATGACAGAGCAGATATGCTTGTTAAGACTCTCAAGAGACAGCCTATAGAAAATATATCATATATTAAACCTAAACTTTAAACTGTGGGTAGATATAAAAGTATTACAAAGAGGTAGGAATACAGCTATTTGCAAGTGTGAGTCAACATCTATAAAGAGCTGAGTTGAAAAGTAAGAATTTGTGAGAATGAAAAAAATTTGGAGACAATCCAAGTTATGTGGAGATGTCTTAGGGAGTGAGAGGAGTGCGATTACTCTAGGTGATTACACTAGAGAGAAGAGAGGTTAATTGCCTGAGTTACTTGGGGATATAGGCTTGACTTCATGCTGAAAGGTCAGACCACAGAGGCACAAGACCCTGGATACCATGGAGATGGAAAGGATGAAGTCTTATTACACAATGTTACCAAGGAATGAGTTTAAGAAAACAGAAAATGCACTGGAATTTGCAGAAAAAAAAAAAGGAAGAAAATACTGCTACTAGATCTTTTGCCTCATCTCTAAATTGAGATTAACTTGGAGTTTAAAAAGATACACAGTAATGTGTAATAATCAGTATTTTTTAAAAATTAGTTCTTACTGAAAAAGGAATATATACACATAATAAAAATTCAAACAATACAAAAGTGCAATCAATGAAAAAGTTTCCTATCTATACTATATTTCCAATATCCCCTTCCTAGGGGCAATCAACGTCATGGATTTATTATATATCATTCCAAAAATAAGCCATACATATATCTGTATACACATGACTACACTCTGTTTTTAAAACACAAAGGAAAATACTACATATACAGTTTTGACCTTGCTTTTTTAATTTAGTATTTCTTAGAGATCATTCCTTTTCAACTCAGAGAGCTACCTCGTGCTTTTTTTCACAGCTACATGTATTACATTCTATGTGTATGTATCATAATTTATCTGGTCATTTTCCTACTGACAGACATTTATAAACAATGCTACAATAAAAATCCTTGCATATACACTATTTTGAAAATGTCTGTTTCTAAGGGAATAATTCCTAGGAGTTAAATTGCTGGGTGAAAAATTATATGCATTTTTAATTGTGACAAAATTTACCAAAACTACCTTCACAAAAACTGCACTAGTTTATATTCTTTGAATAAGGAATACAGCATTTTTAGACTGACAGTATAAAAGAAATATATTTAAAAAGAGCATTATGAGGTGGAGGGGTGAAATAGGAGAGGAGGGAAAAAAAGGAGAAGAGAGTTAGCTTACCTTCCAAAGTCACAGAGTTTTAAGACAGCTGTATCGGGGTCCAACAAGAGGTTCTGTGGTTTAATATCCCGATGGCAGATTCCAAAGGAATGAATATAGGCTAAACTTCGAAACAGCTGATACATATACAACTGGAATAAATAGTAAAAATTAATTGAATACTTTCTATCCCAAACAAATCAGCATCCTTAGGCAGTAAATAAAGTAACAGATTAACAAACAGGTGAAATGCTGGGAATTATTAGCACTCAATCGTCCTTTAACAAGTTTCATGTCATGTTTATGTTAATTAGCTAATTAAAGTCATTAACCCCATGTTATATTTATAACACCCTTTAATATCTTAAAAAAGGAAATTTTACAATGTCATAATTTTTTACTTTACTAACATCTCACAACAAGCATGCTAAGATTGGGTGTTTTTTTTTTTCAAACAGATAAAAAAGCTCAGAGAAATATTGCAAATTATGTGACTAATAAGCAGTGAAGTTTAGACCAAAAGCCAAGTCTTCGTTTTTTAAGCTCATCATTTTAAAAAAATATTTGCCATTTCTTCTTTAGAATAATAATCTTCTGAGACATTAGCCGCAGAGTTTACTGATACAGAGGCCTGGAAAAATTCACATGTGAACTGAGAAAATCTATAATCAGTGATCTATCAAGACATTACTAACCCTATTAATAGCATCATTACATTTCCTGTTATCCTTCAGAAATATATAGACTTTAAAACACCATTTAAAAACAGATCCTAGCTGAATACTGACATTAACTTAAATGAATATTTATTTCATTTTTTAAGGAAAGAGCACTGAAATTGCATCTGCATGGAAATAAAAATAAGACTCCTGACCGAGGAAGAAAGGGAATTTATGAAGAAAGTGAATACAGTTGACCCTGAACAACAGAGGTTTGAACAGCATGGGTCTACTTACATGTGGATTTTTTCCAACAAATATACTGGAATTTTGGGGGGATATTTCCTTACTACTGTAAAGCAACAGCATTATCAATTACACTAGGCTACCATAAAGCTATCATATTGCTGCTTCTTTGCTACCAGTGCATGAATCATTTTACCCGTAAATATAAATTTTTTCACATTTTCATTTTTTTATTTTTATATTTTCATTTTTGATGTCTGTTAGTAACACATATAATGTCTACAGTGTTTTGTATCATATAAAGCAATATTGATGTAGGTACTGAAAGCCTGATGATTTATCTTATAAACCAATGACGTAAACTTACAGTATTGTTAAGTTTACTTTCCTTACGATTTTCTTAATCATTATGCTCCTTTTCTCTAGCTTAGTTTATTATAAGAATACAGTATATAATATATATATCATAAAAAATATGTGTTAATCAACTGTTTTATGTTACCAGTAAGACTTCCAGTCAATAGTAGGCTAATAGTAGTTAAGATTGGGGGGAGTCAAAAGTTATAGGTAACATTAGGCACCATATTTAGAGGTTACTTTTAAGAAATAGTTAATTAAAGTTAACGTGGGACCTACTTTCCTTCAAACAAGCACTATGAAAACTGCAGACAGTTGAATTGAATCCTTACTATAATGAACCGAAGCTGGAAAAGCCTAAGCTTTCTTTAAAATGAAGCATGATGTAAATGTATAGATAAGATCCTCAATTAGGTCAGTCTTTTGCTGCCAAAGTTAGAATTAAGAAATTTAGGTAGATTTTAAAAGCTTCATAATTCTATTAAAGTATCATTGTTCACAGAATCAATCTCCAAGTCCTAAGCTTACTCTCAGAGCTCTAAGAGTTTAATTCACTACCACTAAGAAAGTAAGTTCCCATAAGAAATTGAGTTTATAGACAGTAATATACTAAAGGAGACTTTAACTCTGTGTCAGGACACTAATGTCTAAGTGAGCAACAATTAGTGGGAAAAAAATGTTTTGTTTTGTTTGTTAGAAATGCATAAGAGTTTAATAAGGTTAAGGTGTTTTTTTTTTCTGTATTCATTAATTTGAAAGATCTATCTCCATGTATGCAATTTTATATCGTTTTTTGTTTGACTCTGTAAAAGTATATTTATAGGCTGAGTGGCTTATTATACTAGAAGGATAGCAATAACCTTCTATTATACCAGAAGGATAGCAACGTCAAGAAAAACAGTGATCATATGCCAGGCATTATTCTAAGTGCTTTGTATGTACGATTTCTTTTAAACCTTACGTAGTAGGTACTACTGTTATTTCTATTTTACGTATAAAGTAACTGAGGCACAGAGGTTAAGCAATTTGGCCAATATCACATACTTAATATTCTGTAGTGGCTTGGATAATTACACTTCTTTTAATTACTATTTCTTTATTTTGCCATATTCTTACTCTATTAACTAAAAGTGTAAAACTGTAATTGTTATATAGCTTATCGCTAAGTAAAATATCAGAATGATAAACATTTAAAAACTCAGAGCTATTCAGCACATTTTAAAATTTGAGATTTATTTAACATGTACTATCAAACTGTTTCACCAATTTGTTTATTCTTGTAATCACTCTGTGAGATACATATTTATCCTAATTTTTTTTTTTTGCAAGAGAGGTAATTGAGGCCCAATTAACAGTTTGAACATAATTTGAACACCATTACAAAGTTATCAAATCTAACTCAATTCCAATGTCCACTTTGCACTAGTAAACCTTTTTAAAATAAATAATGGAGTAACAATTTTGTTCACGATGCACAAAAATGCATCCAGCTCTCTTGTATACCAGATCCTGTCCTTAAACATGTCTTTTCAATTAAAAAAAAAAAAAATTCAAGTTCATAACGATAATTTGCCAGGTATCTGTTTTAAAACTGTATTTTAAAACCTACTTAGTTATAAAAGATGCATCAGAAAAGCAAAGGTGCTCAAAAACTTATATCTAACTATCATCAATTACAAAGTGACCAGTACTATAAAAGGGGTGAAGAAAGAGGTGTGAAGCAATAAAGTCATAGAACATACTCAACTCCCTCAGAAAAAGTGAAAATCAAAAAATCACAAAGAACTGTAGTTGCCATTTTGGTAACATGTATGCCAAACAAGTTCTTATTAGATGGTGGGGTCCATGAAGGCAAAAGTTACGTGTATTTATCACTTTTATTTCCATCTTCCAATTCAATATTTTTCACACACACACACACACACACACACACACACACACACACACACACACACAATACTTTTCATAAAATTGTGCAGAATGAATAAGTGAATGAAATCAACTTATTAATTCCAGACAATGTTTTTATCTTTTCAGACTCTTAAACATAAAAATAGATTTGTGTCCTCAAAGAAGAATGTCTAGGGCCAATAACTCTGACTCTGGAAAGATTGTGGTTATATGAAAAAACTATTCTCTTTTCCACACAGGGGAAAAAGGAGTGCTGTATTTTTCTTTGTATGCCAACTTTGATATGCATAATAAACTTATTTTTTAAAATATACAGATGCCAAAGATCCCAACCAATATATGCTGCCAAAAATACAGACAAATGTGCACAAGGTTCTTTACTATGTCATTTGTAATATTAAACAAACAAAAACAAAACAACTGAAGGGTGAAACAAATAAGTTAGGATACAGCCATGCAACAGACTAATATGCAGCTGTAAAAAGAAAAGCAAAATAGCTATATCTATTTATCTATAACAGAGAATGATAGCCAGAATATATTTTTAATTTAAAAAGGTAGAGAAAATGTATATATTATGTAACCATTTACCTAAAAAGGAGAGGAGGGATAAAATAATTATATACATTTGCTTATTTAAAAAATGGTAGGCTAAACTATTTTAAAAATTTAACTATTTAACTTGGGAAGGGAAGGAACAGGGTAGAGAAAATGGGGATAAAACCTAAACTTACTTAACTGTATATACCTTGTTTTGTAGATTCTCCTTTGAAACTATGTAAATATTTTCTATTTTGATGTAAAGTTTAAAGTACAATTAACTTTAAAAAAAATTAAAACACAATCTACAATAAAAGTAAAATTAAACAAAGCTTACTGAGGCATAATCACCCATAGAGGAATTATTCAATGTTTCTTTAAAATAGAGAAATTTGACTGTTCATACCTAATGGGATATACCATGGGGATAAAAAGAGTTGCAAAAAGATCTTAAATTATTTTCAGCTGGTGTTGGTAGTGTTATCCCAAGACTATTGTGAGTGTGGGATAGAACAAGAAATTTTAGTGTGTAAGGAAAGGAAATACGGGTGGAAGATTATTAAGCCCCCCCCCAATATTTAATTAGAAATATTAATATGAACTCATACTGTATTTATTTTTGGAATGAAAAAAGATGCATTTTAAGTTTGAAAAAGTTATCCACACATTTCCTAGTTCTGTCCACTAAAATGACCTAAAAACAATAACCAACACTGTGGTAATTAGTACTATTAATATCCAGACACTGGTCTCTAAATACCATTTCCCACTAAAAGAATAAGCTCTCCTTGAAGAAAAGGCTCATTCCAAGTCTAAGAAAGAAATGTATAAGATAAACCTAGAATACTGTCATGCTAGAAAGCAAAGATGCTATCAAAGATTAGTAAGACTCATGCAAGAAGCTTTTAAACAAACACACAACAACAACAACAACAAATACCTCACTGGTCACCTTTAGAGGATGCTATGGAACCAACTATTATAAATTTTGGTAAACATAGGAAAATAATCAAATATATAACCTGTCTTTCTAATATAAACGGTAGTCCAGGGTAATCAAATAGTTGACATGGGAAAGTTTCTGTTTATGGAACTATTGTAACATAATTTAAGAAGGAATAATAACATTAAAATATCAACATTTTGTAATCTTTGATGAATTAATGGATTCAAGCAATGATCATCAATATCTATAAGTATCACAAAAAGAAAGACATTATGTTCTTCCTTACACTCAACACTATATATGAAGCAGTCATGATTCCTACAAAAATTCACCTAATCACCTCTACTACAGGAAATACAGGACAGTAATATGCTGCACTATGGTACAGCAATCCAATCAGCAAAATCCAGACCAAAAAAATTATACATCAAATGACCCAGTTTCTTTCTTTAGCAACTAAATTAAAGAGAGCAAGCAGGAGAGCGAGAGCGGTGTTACAGATTAAAAGAAACAGTAGAAGCACATCAACCAATTGCAATGTATGAACCTTACTTGGATCCTGATTCTAACAAATAAATTTTAAAAATATGTATAAGACATACTGGAAATATAGTCACTGATACTTAATCACAATTATTCTGGATAAATTCCCAGCCACTCTGTCATGAGTTCTATCAAATAAACAAGATGACATTGATATTAGGTACCAAAAATTAAATAACACCTTGATAGTCTATGCATATACAAAATTATCAAAAGTTTAAACTTCAGCTACAGATATAATATACATATAAATGGCAATAAAACTTTAATAATACTTGTAACTATATTTTATAATTTTATTTGCTATGTTTGCTCTTATTTCAGTCTGTGGCAAATAAAAGTATCAGAAATTAAATTAAAAGGTGCCATGGCTAGCAAAATTAAAGTCCATAATTGTCCATGGAAAAATTCACTTGTCAGAAAGGTGACAAGTATCTTTAATACCTGAGTCATGAAAGTTTAAAAAGTAAAGGCTTTACTCTTTAAAACTGTGTAAGAATTTAATGAAGCTCTAGCAATCAATACCTACTGTATAGCTTTTTCCCCTCAGTAATAGATTTGATAATATAGTTAAAACACACCGAACCCTCTCCCTGGCTCATGATAAGTACTTTCCAAAATGGGAAATTGGTCCATTTTTACATACCTTGACATAGATCACAGGGAGCGTCTGTTTGGCTCGACTATAGTGTCTGGCGACTCTGTATACTGTTTCCGGGACATAATCCAGCACCAGATTAAGATAGACCTCATCTTTCTGAAAAGTTTATTAAAAACAAATAAAGGAAAAAAAAAAGAAGATTAGAAACCAGTTTTTAAATACTCAAATAAGAATGCTCTATACATTCACATATTCAGATTTTAAAAAAAGATTCATGTGTTCAATTTTAATTATACAACATTAATTCAGACTATAACTATAACAATAAAACAATCTACCACACCTTTTTACTAATAATTTCATGGTAAACACATAGTCATTTCAATACCATTAAGATTCCTAGTCATATTTAAACTATGATTTAGGTTATATGATTTTAAAAGATATTACCTGTCACAAAATTTCATATTTTCTAGTTTGAGAATCAATGCCCTCATATCCTATCAGGAAAGGTGTCATGGTAGTAAAGTGAGTATTGAATTGTGAGCTAAAAATGTGCATTTTTAGCCCTACCTCTGCTTCTAACTGATGTGTGCATCTCTCTAGGCTTCAGTTTCTTCAACTATATGTAAAAGTTGGACTAGATATTCTTCAAAATTTTTCTCACCTTTACCAAAGACTGTAGTTATCTAATAGTCTATACTTAGTAGAACAACCACCTGTCTTCTATAATTAACTGAAAGAAAAAAGAATAACTTATAAGGCAGCAAGTTACCATACTCACAAGTTTATTGCAGGTCACATGTTTAAACATCCATTCTCAGCAGCATAAAGACACCAATCCAAGATCATTGGAGAGAAAGAAGGGAATTCCAACTAAGTACCAAGTAGGAAAGAGGAACAAAGCGCTAACCTTATCCTGAACATGTGAACAATATCAGATAAGTAAACTGAAGCAGAAAACAAAGTTGAGAATCACTGTGTTCAAGACTAGAATTGGCTACTGAGTGGGAAAATCTTCAGGTAAACAAGCTTTCACAATCTTCCCGTTTGAAATCATCTTACCTACATGTGTAATTTTTCAATTTTCAGCATTTATTGAGCATTTTCTATATGTCAGTAGCCACTGCAGAGGAAGTAAGGGTGCAGGTATAAAAGAGATGACACCTAAACTGAGTATGAAAGGAACATTTCAGGCAGAGAGAAAACCATATTCAAGATGTGGGGTCAAAGAGTATAGCAGAGCTCAGAAAACAGTTTAATAAGATAGCACGCCATTGACCCTACTATCTTTTCACTATCCCTCACTCTTTCATGTTCTCTCCTCTTTGCTCTCCATATTCAGCTTAAATTCCATAATCTATCATTACCCTCACTCTCTAACATGGGGGGTCGGTAAAATAAAGCAAAGGCATGCTGCCTGTTTTTATAAAGTTTTACAGGAACACAGTGATGCTCGCTCATTCACTTAAATATGGTCTATGGCTACTTTTGGGCTACAATGACAGATTTGAATAGTTGTGACAGAGACCATAAAGCCTGCAAAACCAAAAATATTTACTATACGACTCTTTATGACAAAGACTGTCGAGTCTGCTCCAGCAGATACCGTTCTCCTATGTCATACTTGTTTGATAAACCACAAGCCTGGTTAAGCCCAGCTTTCCACCCATTCCATTCCTGTACTCAAGAGATGTATATGGCTGCAAACCTAAATTCACATTAAATTCATCTTCCAGAAATTCAATGAGCCTAGCAAACATACTACATTTGCCTAGTCTATCCACTTTTCCAAACTACTTGATTTCTTCTCTCCTTCTCTTCAATCTCCAATAACTCTTCTCCCATTCTCACCCTCATCTGATGATCATGGTTGCACCAATGCACGTACCCACCTTCCAGCATCTATCCCCATACACTCTTCCTTCAGTTTTCTAGAGAAAAAGCTGATTAAGCGCCTCTCTAAGGCAAACTGCTATTTGTAAAAACAATAATAAAAAGATATTATTGTTTTTCCTATTCACAATCATTGTTTCAGTAATTTTCTTTCTCCATCACTTGTTCTCTGCAGGAGCATTATAATCAGTAAACAAACTTGCTGTTATTTCTCCTATCATTAAAAAAACTCTCTAACTACACTAATTATCACAATATTTTTGGTCTCCTGTAGAGTAAAATTCCTGAAAGGAGGTGTCTAAACGGACTTTTCCCAATACCTGTCTCATCTTACTCTCTTTAAAGCTTACTCCAGCAGAATTTCACCACCACTACTCCACAGAACTGTTCACCAAAATCAGTAACCTCCCTTGCTGCTGCATCTAATGCCAATTTTGAGTCATCATCTTAACCTCTCCCTTCTACTTTGCTTAGTACTACCATTTGACATAGTTGATCATGTTCCCTTCTTTGAAATACCTGCTTCACTTGGGTTAGAGAATAGTGGTCCTCAACCTTTTTGGCACCAGGGGCTGGTGCTCCTATGAGAATCCAATGTCTAATGATCTGAGGAGGAGCTGAGGTGGTAATGCTAGCGCTGGGGAGTGGCTGCAAATACAGATGAAGCTTCACTGGCTGGTCTGCCACTCACCTCCTGCTATACAGCCCGGCTCCTAACAGACCAGTACTGGTCTGTGGCCAGGGGGTTGGGGACCCCTATTATAGAAAACTTCACTCTTCTGGTTTTCATCCTGGCTTAAAGACAACATCTTGCTCTTTGTTTCTGGTTTCTTCTATTCTCCTTTATTTCTTAAGTAAATGGAGGATCCCAAGGTTCAGTCATCAGAACTGTTTTTTATGTGAGCTCACTCCCTAGATCATCTTAACCAGTTTAACAGCTCAATTACTATATACTGATGACCCCCAAATTCATACATATCCTGGACCTCTGCCTTTAACTCGACTAGTATATTCAATTGTTTACTTGATATTGCCCAAACTAAAAATCTTAGAATAATCATTAATATCCCACTCCCCTCTCTCCCTCACACATATACACACATTCTGCATATCTGTGTGTGTGTGTGTGTGTGTGTGTCTGTGTGTAATACTAATGGTGTCGCCTTTAAAATTTATCCAGCATCCAACTACATCTTACCACCTTCACTGCTACAACTCTGATCTGAGTCACTATCACCTCTAACCTAAATTATAGCACTATACTCCTAAATGGTTTCCCTGCTTTTCCTTCCTTTACCCTTTTACAGTCTAACGAATGTTCTAATCCCAGCTATACACATTGCTCACTTGCTTCAATTCCTTCGAATCTTTGCTCAAGTTTCACTTTCCCTAAATCACACCATTTACAATTGCAACCCAATTCCTCCACTCCACACTTCCATCTACCTTCTCCACTTAATCTTTTCACATGATACCACTTTTAACCACATAATTTACTTTTTATTGTTTGCTTTCCCTGACTAGACTGAACTCCATAAAAGATTTTTATCTGTTTTGTTCATTGCTCTATCCCCACTGAGAATAGTTCCTAGCTCAAAACAGGTACTCTGCAAATATTTGCTGAATAAATTTAAGTTTATAAGCAATGGATAATATTTAAAAATTAAGGTGATAGCCCGACAGGTCTGTTTTAACTCAAATAGTACTCTGAAAAGTGGGTATGGAGAGGGAGAAAGTTGGGAAGGTGAGAATGAAAACTGAACACCTGGAAACCTACAAGAATCCAACGCCTAGGCGAGGGCATAGGCAATAAGGACTTTTAAAAAGGGGAGGTGGGTGGGAACAGGAATACTGGCAAGTTAAATATGAGAGTAACAGAGATCCTGAGAAACAAAGAAGTTGGGATTAATTTTACAATCTCTAAACTTTGGCAACTAGGCTAGTAACAAGACAAAGAAAACATAAAGAACAAAAAGGTGTGAGGGAAAAAATTTGTTAAACTTTTATTTAATGAATCACAGAACATTTTAAGTGGCTATGTTCCATAGGTGGTTGGAAATACACGTTAAGTCAAAACTCGGAAAATAAGAGTAGAGTACAGCTAGAGATTTAAGCAATAGCTGAAACTATGAGAACAGACTCACTCACCTACAGAAGAGTATGTACAATAAGAGAGTGGGAAAAGTGAGTATGGAATCCTGAAAAACACAGCAAATAGCATTAGAAATAATTTAGCAAAGACTAAGAAAAAGAACTAAGAGGCATAAAAAAGCAAGGAAAAGACTAGCATCAAGAGATCCAAAGCTGGATTTCAATGGCAAGGATAAGGACTGAAAATTCGTTGATCTAATATATCACAGTTCATGAAATGGCAGGTGAGAAACAGGAGGCAGTTAATTTAATTAGTTCTTACAAAATCCGTAGTGTTGAAAATAAGGAGAGCTAGGAGCTGGCATCTTGAAGGAAAGCACAAAGAAAAATTGTTAATGTGCTTTTTGTTAGTATCTTTAGTGGCTAAGAGAGACCCAAAATTATTTGTAGGCTGAATGGATAAGGATAGAATAAAGCTGTAAAAAAAGAATAACTGATAAAGTAAGGTTCAAGAACATCACAAGAAGAGGGGAACAAGAACACAGAGAAGTTATGCAGTGTAGTATTAAGAGACAAGGTTAACATGAGTCACACAAAACTACATAAAAGTCCTAACTCTGCTACTACTAGTTATATGACCATGAGCAGTTACTTAACCTCTCTAAGTCTCAGTTTCCTGTAAAACAGTGCTAATAATGGTATCTACTTTAAAAGACTATCATAAGATTATAAGAAATAACCCATATAAAGTTTTTAAGCACATTACCTGGCACATAATACTCAAATTTTAACTATTACCATCTTTAGAAAGGAATGGATAATACTTTTTTTTTCCTTCCGGTACATCTAAAATAAGTGATTAGGTGTTAGGGAGAATTGTAAGTAAAATGAGTGTATCCTTGATGACCCTATTTTTGGTAAAGAGATGAGGTCATATGTAAAACCGAGGGTAGCAAGAATAATGTTGAAGACTTATCTTAAAATTTTAGAGATCAAGATTCAGACAATGATCAGTTCCAAGTGAAAGTGAGGTCCAATAATGAGACTAAACAAATAGAATGCTAAACTGGTGTCAAAGGAATTGCTGTGTTAAGTAGAATTCAAGGAATGGTGAGTCTCAGGTGTTAGGTCATTAACACGGATGTCAAAGCGACACTTTTTTATAAACT